GTGTATTTGGGGCTCAGGAGTTGTTTTTGGGCTCGATATGCTTGTTTTTTGACACACTTAACTAATTAGGCGAGTTGTGTCCTGATGTGTTTGATGAGGCCCACCCCGAGCTGATGATGATTGTGGGAATAGTTTAATAAGTCTAATTTCGTGAGATCACCAGACCCGTCCTCTGCAGTATCATCATTTTGTTTGGAAGACACAAGTCAGTAGGTTTTATAGTTTCTGGAAACACGTGATCATCCAGATGTTCAGGGGTCTTAGTGCGCCAAGCTTTGTGGAGCATAATGGTGTTAAGCCTGACGTATTTACCAGGTTGCTGGAGGTTTGCAGTTTGTTTGACCGCTGACCTAAATGAACGTGTGAGGTGCAAGCTCTAATTGCAACGCTGAGTTGGCTCCATATTCGGGAGAATCTGATGAAGAGAGGTTGGTGCGCAAAGGTGTTGTGAAAGTTTTTACTTCAACTCTGTGCTTATTCACGTAATTCGTAGTGGCCTCCCTGTGAAAATTGCAGGTGGTGACCAATGAAAACGATATATCATGCAGAATCGTGAAAAAAGAAACAAGATCTACCTTCAGCCGTCTCATCCAAGGTGGGTGCAACTGAAAAGATGTATACCTTTACGTGCCATCCGGTCCACACCCCTGCTCGAGCAGGCTAGACATGAAATACTTTGAAACAAGTTCTATCCTAAATTTGTCACAAATACGCAAACTACTCAGGTAGAATGAGCAGTATTCCAGCAATGATTTTACGTAAGTCCTGTGGAATGAGGGTCTCACTTTATGGCTATGGAAGCTGTAGATTACAAAGCCCAAGAGAATTCTTGACTTTCGGGTCTGAGTTGCGACTTGTCCAGTGCGTTTAAATTTACTGGAATATCTCAGGCCTAACTCGGGAACATTTTGGAAGCTAGGCAGCTCCGCAGACCGCAGACCTGGCTTAGTGTTTACGTTGAACCCACTGAAATATATGACAATAGTGACGATATTTATTCCCGAATATAAAGACACACACCATTTTTACAGGTATAAATATCCAGCCACACTCGCCCGAGTTGAATCGAAACTTCCATTTAGTAGACCAGCCCGTTGCCTGGTTCAGTTTTTTCTGTGCCAATGTAAATAGCCTAGGTCATCGATAGAGGATGTATAAACTGCCTTAAGGCCATCGGCAAACAGAAACGAGTTACCATGCGTGAAACAGCCACGGAGGTCATCAACAAGAAGGGTGAAAAGCAGAGGACTGAGCACACCGCTCTGGATGTTACTGTATATGATGGCTTCAGGTTTTGAAGGATGGAAACCAACTCTCACTACATGAGAATAGTTGTCAAGGTAGGATCTGATCCAACCCAGCAACAAGGAATTCCATTTCATAAGCCATAGGTTTTCGTTGTGGCAGAAAGTGGAAAACGCGGTCAAATGCATTGGGGATATCAAAATAGAGGATAAGGACCAATAAGCGCTGGTCAGCGCCGGTGGGTAAACAGTCAAAGAAGTCGAAGTGGCAAGTCATACATGAACGTGATTTCAGGAACTCATTGTGGCTAAGAGTGATAACACCGCTTTCAAGCGTATGTTGCGGAACTTTTTCTTCAACTATTTTCTCGCTATTTCTAGAGGCAGCCGGCATAATATTTATTAATCGGCAGTCATTCACTTCACTCTTTGCACCGGACTCATGTTTAGGTAAGATGAAGGATGCCCTCAACAGATTGGAATATGTAAATGTTTCTAAAGAAACGGAGCTTAGCTTAAACAATAACATTGGAGTGTCAGGGCCACCGAGTTTGAAGGAATATGATGATATTCCATCTGTGCCGGAGCTACTGCAGCTTGTGAGTGTTTTAATAGCTTGATTACTCTGGCCACATGAGAACTCTGTGATGCGAGTGGGTTCCGGTGTGTAGAACGACGGCCAGTTCATGCTAGATGTTGAGTTTGCATCATTAGAGGAGTCTGTCGGCGACAGATGGCTATGGGCGAACGTGTTGCTGAACAATTTGCACATTTCTTTTGGGTTATTGTGGACCTTTCTGTTACGGTTGAGAGAGTTGATCCCATGATCCTGCCGGTTTGTTCGCTTCTTTGAGTCCATTCACTCTAGAGGAACTAGCTAGTGCAATAGTTTCAGCTTGTTTCGCACGCATTTCTTGAAAGTGAGCACTGGAGTCAAGAGCATTGATGGGAGACTGTAGTGCATCAACGTTATGGTACCCAAAGTAGTTCGTCGATAGATTAAGCAGCTTTTGAAGCGTTTTCTGAGTGAAGAGAGGCTCATTTGAAGTGGGAGTGACAGGTTTCACCGCTAGGGGAGCAGTTTCATCAAAGTAGTTGTTTAGATGAGAGTAAAGCGTACTCATTGTTAGTCCAGGGTCAGCTGTAGTAAGATAGTCCCCCCAAACACTACATCTGCCTAGCGAAGAGGCCGGTTCCCAGCCAGTTTTGGAGTAGTTTCTGTACTTCGTATGAAGGGGAGTGTCTTTGTTGCCTGATCTGCCTGTTGACGAATAAAGCGGGAATGCGCGACTTGCCATCTTGTGGTCGTTATCTGAGAGTTCAGGGCATACACAGTTTGAGAGGGGACTAACGTTTTCGCCGAACACTAAGTTAGGCACACTGCTACACCTTGCCTTGGTGACGATGAACTGTTCCCATCCGAATCTGTCCAGTGTGCCAAGAAGGCTGTCATACGTAGCAGATCGTGTACGCTTTTACCGCTGAAGTTCTGGTAATTTGAAATCCCCACAGGCAGTTTTGTACTTACTTGGAGAGAGAAGGTACATATTCTAGAACATAATTCGGAGCGGACACTTCTGCAGAGAAGACGTAAGGTGCATTGTATATGCAACCTGCCAGTACCCTGCACCCTTATTATATTTGGTGGTACGCGGATTATAGTTGTGGATGGCGGCCAGGCAGAATCTCCCCCCATTTCGTCACTAGGCACTGGAAATCACTACGAAACCACTAGATTTTGGCTTGAAAATGTTAGGAAATGACTGAATGGTGGAATCGTGCCAGCTGGGAGTGATGGCTCCAAAATCAAGTGGGTAGATAAAAAGGGTATTGATGACAACACATAGTGTTGTGCCAGAGTCCATCAACTTGTGCTCACCTGCGTATACCAGCGACTGACGAGACTGATACTGAGAAGGTTGCGTCGGGAAAAGTAGAGGCCCAGGGAAACAAGAGGAGGAGTTCAACGCCAAAATCAAGGAATATACCGTCACGCATTGTGGTAGGCGAACCACCGGCAGCGCAATCCTGTGGAGAGGTCAGCAGTAAGTGCCTCTAAACTTTTCGGTCGTGTTTAGCCTGACAGAATAGCGGTTTCTGCTGCCAGGTCCATGCCACAATTACATCAGTTGTGCGGAATCAAAGGGCGCCTAATTGTTTGTCTTGGTGTTCATCGCCATTGTGCCTTGTTTTTTGGCTCTGCCGGCTCCCCACTTTCTTTCCTCATTCGCAAGATGCTCTCTATAGTGTGAAGACTTTCGCGTTTCAACATCGTTGCTAACATTACGTCTAACATTATGAACTTTGTATTCGGATCTGGAATGCTACAGAGCGATATTATTTAATGGCAGCTGGTGTCCTTCTTCTTTTAATGAGTAGAATCCCACATTAATCAATCGCCCATCCCCTCTTTTTTCAGGTTAAATTACAACAGATTATAGCAACTGACAAGCTCTTCAGACCTCTTATTCGTCGATGATGTAAATGTCTAGAGATTCAGGAGTAGGGACTGTGGTAGTAACGCTTTTCAGGCTGATTTGAACGGACAGGCAGGTGAGCTGAAATTTAGATCCTTGAAAATTGGCTCAAGTAAAAGTGCGTTGGAGAACACCTGCCATGGCGGTTCCAGTGGGCCAAGGCGGTATTCGCTGTTCATTATTATCATCTGGATAACCGTTGAAAGCCCAGAAGTGCGGAAGGCCTGTTTCATCCTTGTATGGTACGACTGATGGCCAGGTCAAGCCTGATATGAGGACAAATACTCAGCGATGGCGCTGAATGAAGGATACATAACTAATTGACCGGAGTAGGGAAATTTGAACCACTGGGGTCTTGTTCAGTGAGTTAATCGTAACTTACCCATCGCAGGAACTTAATGTCGCGAATTGTGTCCCTGATTTGATCACGGCTGCATATTGCTGAGGGGTCCGATTTTAAGGAGAAGTGGCTTTCCAGTCCTCTCAGGACTTCGGTGGTTCTCCAACTGTTGTCAGTTCTTGGTGAATTCCGCCTTGAAACAACAAAGTACAGTATACCTGCAAAATTGATTCCAGCCTTCCGTTAATGACGCGCAGTTCCTGGAACCAAGAGACTTGGGCCTTATCACAAGCCATTATCTCAAAACATTGGCACGCCAAGATGCGGCTACAGTGAAGAACCTTTCATTTGTTATGGCCCACACTCAGGCGTTTCCAAATTTTCGAACTTAACATGATTATGATAAACTCCTACATACTGCATTCATGTTGCCGGCTAATGCCTGAAAAGGGATTGTGACGTATGTATGAGCGTTGGAAGGGTGGGTACCAATCCTGCGACAACTAGTCCCAATCTGTTCTACAAGAAACCATTAGGTCGACTGAAGTCTCTCATCCCCTGCTTTGGTTGGAAAATACGGGGTAGGGTGAAGTCATATCGGTATTTCGTGTCCTTATGAATGACTTCGCTACTGACATGCCTTATACCGTCCATTTTTAGGGTGATTACTTACGACGACATCACAAGAAACCCTAAAAACTACGACCGAGTGAAATCACTTTAATCTGAGTTTCTCTTATCGAGCGGTAAACCATTGGAACTATTTATCTCAACAAGTGACATTTTAAGTAAAAGACTGTACTTTTAAACAGGTTTCCAGCATAAATAATAAAACAAAACAGTTGGTCAGTTGTGTGTACTAGCTACTACTAGATTCGCTATACCTGCCCCGCCAGTAATAAGATCTACGTTACTCTTCAGGGTTACTTGTTAGTTCACATGTTTCGGGTGATACGACCGAATTATGGCTGTGTTTCGTTTCTAAATCAATGCGAAAACGTTTCGAGACAACCAGTTCGAAAATTTCTACCTTCTACTTATGCATCAGTTGGCCTGTGGGATACTCGTTTGTCTCATGATATCTTTAAAACTATTATACCGCCGCGTAAGTTGCAGTGTGTGTAATATGTGTCTATAGGTGACCATGGTTTAAAATTAATCCACAAACTTAACTCCGGCCGAAGCGTTTCACCTCTTGATTATGACACAGTAATGTCTTTTTTTAGTAATATATTAATATAGTTCGCAAATAAAATACATGAACTCGATGTAACTTTTTTGGATTTCATTGAGGGCATTATGAAAAGGTACCCAAATATTGTTTTACTTAATAATTAGCTTTATGAATACTCAGTCCGCGATAACTGTGAAGGATTCAACATCTCATGCATTTATTCGAGCCTATCTAGGCTTCCAAGAAGAAGATAGGATGTTAAAACTGGTCGAGAAAAGAGTATGTAAACCTATGTTTTACTTCGTAGTTTGAAACAGGAATATTTGTAGACTTTGTGTCTGCTGTCCTTATGATGAACTCTTTCTTGAAAAAGGGTAAATGGAATTCTGCTGTTGCTGTTGCTTGGGAACTGTGTCTTCAGGAATATTTCACTTTAGAAGATTTCAAGCCTCTCGTGTTTGCAGCGTCACTTCTTTCGTGTCTGAAATCGATAGAAGCAGATTCTTATTTGGAAAGTCTCACTCCAGAAGTAGTTGATGACAAAAATGTAAGTCTTCTTTTTTGAAACGGTTCACTCGTGTATTTCCAAACAATTTTCTGATTGTTTTAATGGTGGAATCACTTGCACTCATAAGTTTCGAACTGTCTATGTCATGACAGCCCCATACTTTCGTTTTTGTTGATTTTGATCGTTAAGATTTCCTCACTCTGAAGTAATTTCGGAATGCCACAGGAATTCCGCTATTTCTGTAAATGTCAAACCAAACGTCTGGAGCGTCTGAAAGACATTTAGGCTTTTGTTCTTGCTTTGCAGAAGAGCTGACTTCACTTAGCACTGTAATGAACTTGACAAAATAAATAGTTTTTGAGGGAGTTGTGGAGATTTGGAAATATTTCAAGTTGGTATTCATCGTAGACTGACATCTCTTGGAGGAACAAAAGAAACCTGAGAGCACTGGACAGCTGTTTTGTCCTAGTATGGGACTCCTGGCGCTCATTGGTGACTAGCTTCGAGAAGTATTCCTTAAGTTCCAATGAGAAGTAACCGGTGGAGTCAAAGCCTGATGGTCGTGAGGACAGTTACTCAACGATGACATTGAGTGGCGGTTGCGCTATATCGTGAGCTAACAGAAGTTGAGAATATGAAGCATTGGATTCTCACACAGTGGCTCAATGGTAACGCGCTGGCCGCGGGTTCGACCCCTGGCAGGGTCGTGGGCGCGCAGTGCTGAGGAGTCCCGTACTAGGAGGAAAAAGTTTTCCATTGCTCCCAGGTTTCCTTTGTTCCTCCAACTGATGTCAGTCTACGATGAATAACAACTTAAAATAAGTAATTACCTACAGAGTCAGTCCCACAGATGACCTACAAATATATGGTACCTAGATGATTTAAATTTCTTAGACTGCACGCCTCACCTTTTAATCATCGAGTTTGGCCAGAGCAATATCGTGACTGTCACTGTACTTGTCACAGGGATAGCAAGTTAGTGGTCCAATCATCTATGGGTTGATGCACAACGTTTTGGTAGGTATGCGTCTTCTGCATGATTGTGATACTGTTTGGCTGTTGGAATCTTGCTAGAAGTTGTGGAGTTTGAAACATGACTGAGTAGATAAAAAAAACTTAAGTCACAGCTTCGATACAGAAAATATTTGTCATTTTGTTAACATATGTTGAGACGGGTTGCAGGATAATCGTGGAGGATTTTGGAACATGCTCTTAGTTTCTGTTCTAAATTCTTTTTCCTTTCACATGTTTAAGAAACGTCACCACTTGCATATCTGACAGGTAATGGCAGGTGCTTATGAGAATATGATAATCATACATAGCCTTCTGTGAAAATTTGTTGAAACGTTTGCTGCCAGAATTGGTCAACAACCGCTAAGTCTCAGGAACATTGATCGTTCCAATCAGTAGACAAGGATCTCTTGATTTCTCTCAACATAATGTAGGGAAAGTCTTTTAAAAGTTAAGCTATTCAAGTCTGCACGATGACTGCTGAAGGTTATCGTAGGTGAAAATGAGGTGTAGATTAATTATTTGGGTTTCAGTAGCTATCTGTAACCAAGTATTCATTCACACACAACGCTGTAAATCATAATTATTTTGTGGATGTGAATGAGTGATTGAATTCCAAGCATAAACTAGCAATGAACTTGAATTTTTGTTCCCATCAGCTGCAGAAATTGTGGTTCATGACCTTACATGACATAAGTCACTGAGAAAGCTGTGTGTACCTCCATTCTATGTCGTTTTAAATAGAGAATAAAGCATCACACATTTTTTAACTCTGTATAGATAGCCAATTTCATGTTCGAGGTTGAGTATGCTGCTGTGTAGTACAATCTGTCCTATTCTCCGGCTGCGAAACGGCCAGAAAAGATGGATGTTCTGTGGTTCCAGATATGTAATTACTGTTAGCTCCAGAACATCATAAATATGCGGTAGGACTACCATTTGAATATCACATGTCACGTGTACAGTGTAAAACAAAGCAGTTACGTCAGTCGATAAAATGGTAAGCACACAACGACCAATACGACTTGTATGTTTTACACCACTTGACTTGCCGTCCACCGTCGCGTGCTACGTTAGCTGGAGTACGATTATGCCGGTGAAAATTCAAGGCTGACTAAATGGTTCTACCACAAACGATCAATATTCCGGAGTGGTCTAAAACTAAACACCCTTGATCTTTGTATGTCTAAGGCCTGTGGTCGTATCATATCCTTGGAGTGAGACACACCTGACTCTTGCACCCTGCGAAGTTTCACCAGCAATTTGACAGGTATTCAGATCTACAGGCGACATATTTTAAAAGGTATTGAAGTGAAATTTTATCTGCTAGAGAATTTCTCGAAAGCAATGTTTTGACAAGGATATGATTACTTTAAAGAAAGGAGAAAATTCTATCCAGTATTCGTGCAACTTAGATATGCCCTAAACTTCTTGATCTGATGTTGATTAGCTAACAGGCTTAGTGATTAAGTATTCGCAGCCTAAATTCAAAGGTTGGAAACGGTTAAATGACCTCAAACGTGTACCACGGATCGATTGCAGAAGGCTAAGTTATTTGAACCTTCATCGAACCATTTTGCACTTCACTGTAAATAGTAGTTGATACAAGAATAAAATGAAAGGAAATTTAATTTGCGTTTACCTCCTACAGTGGTACTAGTTTTGAAGTGTCTCCATGTACCGAGGTTTGAGCACCCACGTGGTATCATTAGCCCTCACATAACAGGCGTTGCTCATTGCTTACCGCACGAATGTGCACAAGTTTACTTAGTGGATTTTTTCCGAGAAAAGTGATCTTTATTGTCTTACAGGCTGTACTCATAGGACATGTAGTTCATAAAATAGGTGAAGTGAACACTGCTTGACATAAAGATTCAGACCATTGTTGTTACAAATGTTGAGAAAACTTTGAACCTTTTGATCCATTTAACCATAACAGTGAATAAGTTTTAATCTAATCCCAGTGTTTAAGAATGGAATTCAGATTCAACTGTTTAAGCTACAGCTTCTTGAATGGAAAATCCGAATATATTGCTAAATAAATTGTGTCTAACACAGTGGAACCGAGAATCATATTTTCATTTCCTAAGCACACTAGTATTATATTTTTGGAGAATCAGAGGTAGTGCCGTTCGACTGGTGTACTTCACTGATAATCTGAGTCTTTAAGAAGCAGGAGAAGTCTTCTTGTAACAACCTTTGGGGAATTAGTTTGACTAGTATTGTGTCCAAGATCCTTGGGTCTTTAGGATTTGTCCTGTTGCGAACTTGACAGGCGCAAAGACCAATCACTAATTATTCGGACTTGTTAAATACCCACGAATACGAGACCAAGGAAGAACACGATAGCGTAGTCGGATGGAATAGTTTATTTGGATGGTTGTACCAAAATACCGATGCGTTCCAACTAACTGGCTAGAGAGTCGAATACGAGCAGTGCAACGTAACACGACAGCGTGCCAAATGGCGAGGATGCTTGACCGGGTGCCTTCAGCTTAGCGAGTCCAGTTAAACTATCAAGGTCAGCATCAATGTGGAAAGTCGTCAAACCCTAGGCTATTGATTTTGGGGAAGTGTGACGCTACAGATCACCCCCCCTAGTGGGTTCGTGAGGACCCTAAGACGATACCAGTCGGAAGTAAAAACCCAGTGGTTTATCCACTGGTAAAACTCTTCCGATGGGTTCACTGCGTGGAGTGGCCCCTGGTTGTCTGAACCTTATTCTAGGGTGTCGTGGCAATTAAATAATAAAATAAGATAAATCGAATTGGACGTCGATCGCGGTCCTCAGTTCCTTTTGACGTCCCGTCCAGTGCTCGTTGCACCTGGAATATAAATAAAAGTCTTTAATACCACGAAAACGTTTCGTAAAAATGGGAATTATTTATATATAAACATATCGAGAAATAAAAATTTACGCTTATTTTCACCTTTTTTAAAAATGTTTCATTATATGGTAATTCGGTAATTTGGGCTAGAAAAGAGCCTAAAGGGCTTTTCGTGTGTCGCGTGACTTTACACTTTTGACAAGCTAAGCACGACTGAGCCCACTCCTTAACGTCTTTGTTCATCCCAGGCCAGCAGAAACGTTGTGCGATAAGCCTAATGGTGGCTCGTACACCTGGATGAGAGAGTTTGTGCAACGTATTGAAGACGTTGCGTCGACAACTCTTCGGAACTATTGGGCGTGGTTGACTAGCAGAGACATCGCACAAAATTGTATCCTTGTCTGATCCAACCGGACAAAGTCGCAGTTTGAGAGTTGTGGACGACAACTCATGATGCAGCTCAAGGTCTTCCTTTTGACGCCGAGCTAGTTCAACGAGATCAATACCCTCGATATAGTTTATCGAAGCTATTCGAGATAGTGCGTCGGCTGCGGAGTTGTTTGCTCCAGAAATGTGGCGGATGTCTGACGTGAACTGGGAAATGTAATCCAGCTGTCGCGACTCACGAGGGGAGTATTTGTCAGACGCCGAGCTGAGGGAAAACGTTAACGGTTTGTGGTCTGTGAAAATAATGAAATCACGACCTTCCACAGAATGTCGAAAATGGCGTACAGAACAGTACATGGCTAGGAGTTCCCTACCAAATGTACTGTATCTTGTTTCCGCGTCTTGCAGCCGCCTCGAGAAAAAGGCTAACGGTTGCCACTGGTTGTCAGTCAACTGTTGCAAAACTGCTCCAATTGCTGAATCAGATGCATCAACAGCAATACTCAAGGAGCATTGGGGTCATGATGCATAAGCATGGTTGCGTTCGAAATGGCTTCCTTGACTTTAGAGAAAGCAAGTCTAGCCGCGTTGTCCAGAGACACGAACTTCGCAGTTCCTCGAAGTAGATCTGTTAGTGGTCTCATGACAGAGGCACAGTTAGGGATAAACCTTCGGTAATAACTTACCAGGCCATTGAAAGTGCGGAGATGTTTCACAGTGGTCGGCTCTGGATAGTTTGTGATAGCCGCCACTTTATCTCTCAATGGGCGTATACCTTTGTTGTCAATGGTATGCCCAAGGAAGCTGAGTGAT